TATTAGTGAAGATGTATAAAAAACATAGGGGTCAATTATAGTACCTCCTCGTATTTTGAACTCGGCTAAAAAGTGCAAAAGCACAGTTGTTTTTTTACAGATCTATATATGTTTCACAACGCCTGTGGCACTAACAGTACACCTTAGCCTACCGTCGAACACATGTCAATAGTAGGGTTGCATATCTTTGGGTTATAATACACATATCCCACGCAGTTCATAGCTTGTGTATTTTTAGAGGTTCTTGTAGAGTGTAGAATAGATCAGTTTTCACAAAAATTTATAAATGTGCTGCAATATATGAACGACAACATTGCTTCTAAATGATGAACGAAATAAAATGATTATACATCGTTAAAAATTGTTAGGTATATTCACCAGAATATGTTTGACGCACACACAAACCTTTGACATTACCACATCAAATTTTGCCAAACTCGCACAAAGAGGTCGTGGGTCTCAAGGCCAAGAATTTCATATTACGCGAGCAAACTAAGTTCGATCCATAAGAAGGCATAACAGTTTTTTTTTTTTATTCAATGTCCGTGATGTATTTAACAATTCATAAGTTGGACATGGAAAAACATCTAGACCCGGACAATTATTGTATTGTTATATAATAATTGTCTAGACAATTATTTATAAGACATGAAAACACTTGTTCCGCGCGGGTTCTAACCCGCAACTCCGCGGTGCCATAGCCAAACGCTTAGTCACTTCGTTACCGAGCTTTTTATTCCATAGACAATAGAATATTTACCCACCGCTCATGCCCACCGCTTACACATATATTTAAGCTGTAACTTTCATTTGTATTGCATTATGTACTGCACAAATCTTTCTACAGGTTGTAGTGTTAACCTAATCTGCAAGCGGTGCAAATATATGCTTTTGTGACTGGCCAGATGCGGAAAATTTTAATTAATATGCGGAACCGGAATCCAATAAACTAATGTAACATAATCATCAATTTTTGCGGAAAAATATCTACATCTTGTTTTAGGTTGGAAAAGGCATATCATGTAAATCTCGCCTAATAGCATATTACAATGAAACTAACTAATGTACTGTGTAGGTGAGGCGAAAGAGAATTCACTGCCCCGTATCATACCGTGGGTGCCGTAAGAGGCGACAGAGGGAAAATGAAACGGAACAGCGGCATCTTCTGCCCAAGCGTGGCAACCATACAGTCCTAAAAATAAGACGCAATCTTAGGAAGAGGCCTATGTTCAGCAATAGACCAATGGATGAATGAAAAAAATTATACTTAATAAAGGCTATTAGAGCTAATTATACTTAAAATCAGCCTAATTTAGAAAAACACTGTCTGGTTATTTTAAGTGAAGTATTATATTCAAGAAAAGAGCTCTTGATCTTTTAGGTGGCTCTTGGGTGAAAATAATTGGTATATTTTTTTAAGAAATACAACGAAGTAATACCTTTTACATGTTAAAATAACTGTTACGATAAAGTGTTAAGAAAAATTCCAAAAATATCGGAGAGAAAAATAATGAAAGCATTAATAGAGCAAAGCTCCTTATAAGGTAACAAGTATAAAGAGCTCGAAGGTATCGAATAATAATAAGTCTAAAAGTCGAACCATTAGCGCTTCCAATATTGTTGAGATATGAAGATGGGTAGTGGGTAGCAAATCCCTACGTTCTTCGATTTACGTCACAAAATATTTTATTTTTCTGGAAAATAACAAGCCATTAGTATTATAAGAATAAATAAAATACAAAAATACTCGCAAAATGTGTTTTCAAAATTGTTTATCTTTTCAGGGATTTAACTAAGGAACATTCCAAACTCTTACGACGAACTAAAGTGCCGAGACTGCATAAAAGGAGGACACCTCTAGTGCCTTAACTCTCAAACATTCGTAGCCATAAAAACTGATGATAGTGGCAAACAATTCCAAATGTGGGAGAGGCACGTGTCAAGCAGAGAAATGATTACAAGCTATTGATGATGATGATAACACAACTGGCATAAATATCGTGTCTAATTATCAAGCTAATAAAAACTTAAATTGTACTAAAACTGGAACAAAACTAAGCTATGTGCATAGTTTTATTAAAACAATATGAACTTTCAACATAAAATTAAACAAAAAGTGTCAAAATGAGTGAAGAGGGCAAATTTTATAATAGTCGGAAAGTATTTTTATAGTACATGAACACAAGGAGCTGGTAGAGTGGGCGTCGGCGTCTACCAGGCGCAACAGGCACCCCTCCCTCTCACCTACCCATACCCCACTACCCTACAGCGAGCAACAGGCGCCGCACCCGACTTACTTGTTGAATCGACCGACCTACTAACGTTTCAATGAAGACACTAGACGCGCCAAATTATCGCTATAGAGATAAAGATCACCACATAAGACCAACAAAATACGAAGCCGAGTAACATTTGAAACGTTTTTGGCGCCCAACATGGGTCAAACTGTAGCACTGGAATAGAGACGTTAGTCTCAAGCTCTGAAGTTACATAGCTTATATATAACTTACAAATACATTTTGTTAAAAAGGAATTTCTTATGTTTCTTTTAATACAATTAATGATGTCAAACCAGCACACAGTCCACTCAATGGTAAGTGGGCTAGAAACTAGGGCGTGCTTCTTTTTACGACTTCATGTGATCGAAAGTGTAACGATAATGGATGGTAAATAATTACATAACACAGTTTATTTTAAGTATCTTGAGGAAATACAGTAGGAATTTTTCGCATTACCGTAAAACAAACCAGAGATTCGTTAATCAAATATGACAGAAAATTATCAAAAAAACATTAACTTATAAAAATCCACTTCTGAATGATATCCATAGACTGCCTCTAATGAGGGGATATTTGCTATAGTTGCCACACTTGGAAGGCGGGTTGACAACCGCAGTTTTTTTCTTAATATTGGGTTGTTATCCTGAAGATTACTGATGGCGACTAAAGCAGGAGCTGTGCTGTTTCGGTATCTCTCTGTCGCCTCTTACGATACGCACACCATGAAAAGAGTTAAAACAGCTGTACTAAGAGTTAGTGCATTCATCATATAACACTATGATAAAATAAGAAATGCATAAATATTATATTGTCTATACAATAAGTAATATCTTCAATGATGAAAAAAATATTTGATCATAAATACTCGAAGCACTAACGTGTATGTGATGTCAAAGTCAAATGGATTGCATTACACGGATCGTGTCGATGCGACTGCGAAATCTGTGGGGCTCTTGAGAGCTCTTTCATACTAAGCTTGTGAGGGGCGTGTTTGAGAGTTGTGCATTTAGACTTAGCGTACGGAAAATCTTGAATGTGTCGAAACCAGAGAACTATTAACGTGTTTTGAATTATTATTTTTTTTAGTTAAAGTGTTGTGATACTCACAATAATACCATAAATTAGATTCAGGAGTTTTATTAATAAGGTAGTAAGTAACATAATAAACTCTTAAATTTTAGTTCAAAAAGCTTTAGTTAAAAAGTAAAACTTCAAAAAACTTATTTTTCACACACAGACACTCGCACACAGGTTAATACAACAATATTTATTACAATATTCTTTATTAATACAATAGGGGATTAAAATTGCTACTGCGGAATTGCTCTACAGAATCCAGTACGGTTGACGGCCCACTTTGTGTTATTTACTAGGGCCCCGTTTCTGCCTAGGAGTCCGTCGGGGTAGGTACCATCTTCTTATCTATTTTCGTCGCCAAATACGTACTCGTATGCTTTCATTACCAGTCTGAATATTACTCGATTATGTTCCAGTCTGAATAGTACTCGAGAGCTAGTATAAATAACAGGCTGTGAGGCATTTCATCTTAGTCCTCAGGGATGATGCATGCAATGCATCTATAGCTTTTATTGTACAAAGTTGGCTGCAGATGTCCATGGACTGTAAGTTCGTTTGTAACTTCAGTTTTCAGACAAGGTATAACGTACTTACTATAAATATATACTCGTAAGTATAATTTTGGCGAATTTATTATTACTACTGGTTGTATGCAAGCGAAATACATTTAATTTTTAACTGGACATTAATTTTTACATAATAATAATAATAATAATTTGTCCTCCAGACCAAGTATCGGTCACGGCGGCCAGTCTCAACGGAGACTAACCATCTGCGCAGGACAGGATTATAGTGCCCGAGTGTACTCTCTATTCCCTGACTCTTATAGTTCTATGGGACGGTTATCCGACTCGACCGACCGGAAAGAGATCATGCGCAGGACCCACGGATTTACGTGCTTTACGAGACACAGAGGTGCAATACCGCCAACTTCCTAAGACTGAGAATTTCTCGACAGAAAAACCCAATATCCGATTTTATTCCGACCCGGAATTCGAACCCAGGACCCAATAATCAGCAACCGCGTTTACGACATATAATGTGCATATGCAAAACATAAAACAAAGATTCTTTTGCCTAAATATACACTTCACAGACTACTACACTATTGAAAAATGAACAATTGAAATCACACAAAATTCACAACTGTTCAACTATTTGACCACAGACTATTATGTGTTTGACATTGGCGGTATGAACGTAAAAATGAATGATTTAAAGATGAATTGCAGAAAAGTAACGCCTTATTCTTTTAATTTTCAATGAAGGCTTTATTTTATTTTATTTATTTGTAAGACATAATATTATATATAAATTTTAACTTTTTGCACTCCTTCTCTATACAAATTTACTATGCTAAATCCCACCCTCCTCCGTGCGCACAATATGCTAAAATCGAGTAACGAAGCTACTGCTAGTATATAGTTTACTCTATTCTCTCTGTGATCCTTCATTATATGAATGCACTAAACATTAAAAATTAGAGCAATGTTTAAGAAATACCTACATCTATATTGTCACAATCAACATTATGTATCTACACCATTAGCCCATATATGAACGGTGCGTCCAAGTTGAAGATATTTCGATACACAATCCACTGCCCGACTCGTTATTGATAATGGGACTGCACTGCATACTTACCGACTAAGGCCAGTATAACGGTGAGCAATGGCGCAGCAGGAAACGACACTGTTACGTTGAACTCGAGCATTTGTAGTAAATCCACTGAAACAAACATCTTAAATTATTAATCGGTCCAATAATATACCTCAATATATTCCACACCCTCGCAAATAATAAATTTTTGAGCTATATTTAGCCACACAATGCTACTTTATCTTTACAAAAGGTAACACTGTAACTCAGCTTGTAATTTTTTAATAATTCTAGTAATGAAATGAAGTGTCGATTTTTTTCGTAGAATAGGGGTGACAATGTCAAACGAGCACACACTCCACCTGTTGGGGAGTGGATGCTGTGGTCTATAGACTTCTTCATCTATCCTCGATTAAGAATCAAAATGACAACCCCTGAGGACTAAAATGGAATTCCTTGTTTCCAGTAAAAAGTGTGTGCGGTTCTCTACACTCGCTATACCATAACACAGCATTAAGCTAAAATTACCAGCTTGAAATAGAAGCATTAAGCTGCTATTTTACGCAGCTATTTTACGCTGCTATTCTTTGAGAGGGTTATCCTTATGTGGTCGAGCCGACATATCTGTACTACAGGCACAATATAGCTGCAATATGGCTCCACCACGTATAATATAAAAAGTTTTAATAGTCCCAATAATCACCTAGACTCCGACCGAGACAACATGTATGTTAGAAGAGGTTTAAAAATCGTGAATGTTATTCATTTCACACCATTTCGTTCAAAGAAAGAAAGAAAAGACCTTTATATATGTTAAAGCATACAACAAAAAATATGAAAGTAATAATAGGAAAAAGAGAAATAAAACGAAGTATTACAAAAACATAAATATAAGAAAATAATCACTCAATCGCTCACTATAACCCATCACAAGTCATCGACCACGTCTCCGATCCGTCGATTCCGAGCCACAACAAATCTTATCCGCAGAGATCGACGATATCACTCAAAAAAAACCGGCTTGATTTTTGATCAATCGATCATGCGTGAATAGTGTTACCAGATCCCACAATGAGTTTTCCTGGCAATATTACTGACTTTTCAATAAATTTCCTGACATTGACGCAGAGGCAGCAAATAGTCCGAGAGCAGGTAGACATTAGGCATCTCTACGCAGTGCCAGTGTATCGATCCGATCAGAAAGAACTCGGTCGTCGACGATTCGAACAGCTCTGCGCTGGGTGCGGTCAAGTGGAAGGAGCTGGCACTGGGGTGCCCCGGCCCAGAGATGAGAACAGTATTCCATGTGAGGCCGAATTTAGGCGCTTTGGAAAGTTGCAAGCGATGTGCCGGCATGAAATACTGTTTCGCTCTACTGAGCACGCCAAGCTTTTAGAGGCCAATTTGGCCTTCCCTTCTAAGTGACCACGAAACTGCACACTACTCGATATGTCGACGCCAAGGATTCCGATGCTAGCTGAGGCAGCAAGGGGAGTGCCTTGAAACTGAGGAGATACGACAAAGGGGTGCTTTTTACCGGTAAACGCGCAAACTTTGGGTCTTCTGGTCTATCATTGATATGCAGGAGAAACAGCGTTGGTGATAGCACGCAGCCTTGTGGAACACCAGCGTTAATAGGCTTGAAATCAGAGCATGCACCGTCTACTACGACCTTGATGCTCCGATCAGCAAGGAAACTGGTGATCCATTTGCACAATTTTTCGGGAAGCCCATAGGAAGGAAGCTTGAAAGAAGTGCTTTGTGGCTTCGCTATGTCCAAACTAACGGCCAATGCCTCACCCTTGAACTCTGGCATTAGGCAGGTAGGTATTTGAGAAGTTTTCAGCGCGCCTCGAATACCTACCCAAAAATGTCTTTTTTATAGGATAGGCTGACAAACGAGCACACAGTCCACGTGATGGTAAGTGGCTGCTGTGGCCCATAGACATCTACATCTATCTTCGTTTGCGAACTTAATAAAGAATCAAAATGCAGATGTGTTGTCACCCTTGAGGACTAAGATGGAATGCCTCTTTTCCAGTAAAAGGGGTCTCTGGTTCTCTACATCTACACTCACCATACGAAACACAGCAGTGTTAAGCTGCTATTTTACCCTGATATTCTGTAAAAGTGTGGTCCTTCCCGGTCGAGCTGACCCATTAGTGCTACAACTATACTACTAATATAGCTGCAGCATGGCTCTACCACGTATAGAAACCAACTCTCCTAATAATATATATATCTCATTATAAAAACTCGCACATGTGCTTGACATATGCGCAATAAAAAGTACGATCCAGATCAAATGAATGAAATAATTTAACTTCGAGATTGATTCATATATTATTATTATTTACATGTAAACTGTTTATTAAATATATTAATTTATATTTCTAATATTTTTCTCGTTCTATTTAAAAATTCCTGACAATTTCAAATTTCTCCTGTTTCCCTGACAGAGAGTTCAAATTCCGGACATGTCAGGAAAATTCCTGTCATCTGGTAACTCTATGCGTGAACATCTGTTTACGACTTTCCCTTGGCGTATGGTCCGAAACTACGTATTACTTCGCCCACTCGGATTCCAGATTTAGAGGTTTATACAAATTCCCTGATCGACCTATCCGACCTCCCATGCGGGTGATAAAGATTTTCGGTTTCGGAACAATGTCTGGTCCAAAATACGATGCTACTCATGCTTCCATTCTTGTTGCGGTTGTATTATTCGTGCCATTCAGAAGATTAGCCCGGAAAACCAGACAAAAATTATACAAATAGTTATTCATGTCTTAATGACATGGAAATGGCCACCTGAGCCGAATAAAAGACAGGTATTTTGATATTACAGATACACACTTCAATTTTATAAATGTGTATATAAAAATCAACAGCGAGACTCAAAAACTAAGTTTAAACTTTAAAACGAAATTTTAAAGCATACACTTCCGTTATTTTATCCTTTCAAACTACATCGTCAGGTACATGTAAAGTGAAAACAAACCAAATATAAAGCGCAACCGAGACATGTATATGATATATCCGAGTGCCATAAGCCGCCCTTAGCGCCCCCTGGAGGCGTGCGCGCGCGGCGTCGCCGCGCGTTAACGCGATCTAACGGCTGTTATATGAATTTTTCATGCGGCACGAGAAGTAATGGTATCGCCTGAGACGTCGGATCATTCTTTACGATACGACAACGGAAACCTTTATAAAGTGTATATGAAGTATAAGTCCAGTGCCTCGCTCTCTACCTTTACGTTTACTTTTGTTACCTGTTAAATAAAAAAGGCCAAGAGGCGTACAGTTAAAAAGGATCCGGAAGTTGACCGATGCTCCATTTCAGTGGTATTTTTTGGAGGAGGAGAACCCGTAATAAGATAAAGGTTTTATCGTCTTTCCGTTAGCAAAGTTCACGTGTGCGCCCAGTACGTCGGGGCTTTGCGGACGGATGTTTGTTTAAGGCAGGAGGATTATCCCGGTAGAGTTACCGTGTCGAGCGTGGTGCCCTCACTGTCTGCCGCCAAATCTTTTTATATCAACTAACTGAATAAAGGGGTTGACATGACACGTCCTAGAAGAATCCCTTGTGAAAAGCTTCCCTTTCACTTAACAAACTACAACATTTTTATTGATTTGTAGTTGATGATAAATGAAGCGTTTGTAGAAACGCGTATGAGTTTGATTTAAAATCATTCTACCTAATATATATTACTTATTTTACTTTATTTCTATAAATTTCTGACAAGTTAAAGAGAGACTATTTAACACACTTTTTAAATAAGTTATGACTTGTGTAAAAATATTATAATATATTATGTACTAGCTTTTACCCGCGGCTTCGCTCGCGTGAGCTTAAATTTAGGAACATCATTAAATGCTGTCCCGTGCCAAACTTAGGAAAATTCGATCACTTTTAGAGTCATCTCGGTGTCTGTGTCTCTGTCTGTCAAAGATTTTTTTTATTCTAAAAGACGTAGATGATTGGTAACATTCTACAGGAACACGTGAATATATATGTTTAGAAACACCTACTATTTTTTATATCGGGCGTATCTTCCGATGTATCCATAAGAAAATAGTAAATAGTCCTGGAATCAAAATTTATTATTATTGTTTACATTTAACTCTTTTAATTTATTCATAATTAAAGTTAATTTAGTTTTAACAAAATAATATAACGTTTATTTGAGATATGCCAATCAATATTAAATAGGATCAATGATATGAATAAAATATCATTGGTCCTATTTAATATTGATTGGCACCATAAAATAGATGTAGATATTATTTTTTTTTACTTCGAGTAGACTTCAAAATTTCCTAAATATATAAAAATTTATATTTAGGAAATTTTATATATAAATATATAAAATTTTCTAAATATATATTCTATAATCATGAATACTACACATGGATTAGACTAATGTCACGGGTTTTTTTACGCTTCTTGGATGAAAGTTCCGAGTAAAAGAACATATTGTTGATGTGAAGCTCCTACGCTCCGGGAAGTCTAAAGTATGTCAACATGTTTAGTATCGTCCCAACCATTATATCGCATCTGTTAGACAACAAATCTTTGCAATAGAATACCAATTCCTACAAATGATGATTCGCGATGCTATTGAAATTCAAAATATCCTAATCTTAATATGGAAAATGGCTGAGTGCTACCATCTACTAAGGACCCCATAATTAATAAAATTAAATTCAAACCCAAGCATACCACTGCATTTATTCTACTCTATTCTATTCTTATTCTATTCTGTTATAACTATGAGATCAGGTCGTCAAACACCTCAGTTCTTCCGTGACCATGGGTGCTATAAAGTGCCCAAAACATCGGGAATTAAAAAGTTAAAATTAAACGCGAAGTCCTTAAAATTATTCCACCTAAAGAGAATCATATCGTAAGAGGCGACATAGAAAAACAGACAAGAGATGGGTAGCATCATCTTCCTGACAAAAGATCAAAATAATAATAGCTGTGGTTGCCAACCCGTCTACCGCAACCGTAACTATAGCAAATATTCAGCTACTTGACAATTTATGGGGGAAGCCTATGTTCATTTCTATGGACCTTTGATAGGCTGACTATAATGAGTTCTACTCATTCTGGCAACCCTTAATAC